GGCTGGGCTCGGCGACGGCGGCAGTATAAGAGGAGGTCGCGCAGACCCGCGCATCAGTGCGAGCTGCGGCAGCGCCCAGAGTGGGGGGGGACGGTGTTAGCGCTCCGTGATCTTTCTGTCCGCTGGAAAACTCTCTTCGCCCACCTTTCGTCATGAAAGCCTTCAGTCCGGTGCGGTCTGTCAGAAAAAACGGACTCTCGGAGCACAACCTGGGCATCTCCCGGAGCAAAACCCCCGTAGATGACCCCATGAGCCTGCTGTACAACATGAATGACTGCTACTCCAAGCTGAAGGAGCTGGTGCCCAGCATCCCGCAGAACAAGAAAGTGAGCAAGATGGAAATCTTGCAGCACGTCATCGACTACATCCTGGACCTGCAGATCGCCTTGGACTCGCACCCCAGCATCGTCAGCCTCCACCACCAGAGACCCGGGCAAAACACTTCCTCCAGAACCCCTCTGACCACCTTAAACACAGACATCAGCATTCTCTCGCTACAGGTAAGTGCCTTACCCCGAGCCCCCCTTTGTCCTGCGCTGACCCATATAAGGGGTATTAAGTCGGTGTTAGAAACGTCTTTAATGCGGAGCGCTGTGATCACCGGGGGACAGGGCGGGACGAGTCGGCCACAGCTCTCCGCTGGCAGGGGTCTGTAGCCAGACGTGCCCCAGGTGAAGCGCTTCGTGCTCTGGGGCAGCTTTCTGCCGCCTCCCCGGGTGCTCGGACCCCTCAGTCCTACCCTTGTGCTGTTTTCTCCTCCCAGGCGTCCGAGTTCCCCTCAGAGCTCATGGCAGGCGACAGCAAAGCACTTTGTGGCTGAATCAAACGGTGAGTGCAGTGCATCTTGTTTCTAAACTTCAGGTAAAAAGAGCTTCCCTGGGGAGTGGGAGGCGTGAGGGTTAATTGTAACAATCCATCCTAAGAGTTAGTTAGGAAATGTCTTTATAACTGTTAAGAAATTAGACTAATGACTTGAGTCTGTCGGTCCAAAGTGTATTTTGTTGATAGGCTCATGAATACTCTGATACTACTCCCTGCTTAATGCAAATTCTCATGTTATCTGCTCTCGGAGTCTTAACTTCCTGGGCCAAAGTGACTGATTAAGTTGGGAATCTTGGTACAATTCCTTAAATTCTGTGATGTGGGATTGTCTGTGCTATCAGTTAAAACAAGTGGCTGCTTTTAATCAAGTAATTGCTGCAAGCGGCAGACTGGCGCCTCTGAGCACTGACTTTACAGAGATCTAAGTAGAGATTGGACTGAGAATCCTCTCTCTACCCTTTCCCTGGAGCGTATGTTATTTTAATGTTCAATTTGTGCTTTTGAGAGCGAGTGTGTGAGCGTGTATGTGTTGCATCTGGACGCCAGGGTTTGCCCAATCTCTGAGTGTTTGGTTAAATGTTCAAACTGTGGCTTCCTCTCTGGCGCCAGTCTGTCCGGATCTCTGCCCTGTTAGCATTCTCCTAAATATGCCTCTTTTCAATCTCTTGCAGGTGTTCCACTGATGAGATTTTTTTTTTTTTGCACAAGAAAATGTCTACAAGATTTTTTTTTGAGGTGCTGAATTTATTTTTCAGCTGTATCTGGAGGGGAAAATCCACATCTAACTAAAAGGACCTTTTAAAATTAATAACGAAGAAAAAAAATCAAGATTGATCTTTATCCCCACCCCATGCTTCAAGTTGGACTGAACCTAGTTATTTATGAAGAGACTCTTAATACCCTTTCCCTAGTTGGAAGGCTTCCTTTATATACTATTCCCAACATGGGGAGCGAAACAAAATCTCACAAGGAGTTGCCCATTTTCAAGCAGACTTTGCCTTTTTTTACCAAAGGTGGAGCGTGAGTACCAGAAGGATCCAGTGTTCAGTTTATTAGGAAAGTCTGTGGTCAGAAATTACCTTTTTGACACAAACCTAGGACTGAATGCTGTGTATATATTTATATATAAATATATATATATATGAGTGAAACCTGGTGAACTCTTTAATTAAGAGTTTTCTTGTATAGTGGCAGAAATTTACGTTTCTGCAGAAAGTGTAATGATGTACTTAATCATGCTAAACTTTTTATAAAAGTTTAGTTGTAAACTTAACCCTTTTTATACAAAATAAATCAAGTGTGTTTATTGAACTGATTGCTTGTTATTCTTTGGGGACCAACTGTTTGCTGGCTTTGATTTGTTGTGTGTTATTTTTAAATACTTATACATTCTGTTATGGCTTTATCAAGTAAATTCAAGTATGTAGAGAATATAAAGAATAAAATTACCTGAAATGAATAATAATTCTTGTAACTTGGAAAATCTTATTTGGGTGTATAACCTAAACTTCTAACTGATTTGCCTGTAAACAGTGTGAAAGGAACAAGAAAAGTAATTTATTACAGAGGGGATGCTATTGACAAAGTGTTTGGAAATATGCACAAATGCAGTTAGTCCTGAGACATTCCCATGGAGTATTGCTTTTTTTTTGTCTGCTAGCCCTATGGATGATTCTGGTTTTTAGGAGTACTAATAGCCCATATATGTTAATTTGTTTAGAAGAATCTTAGAATTAACGGGTTGAGAGTGGTTATTAGTCCCCTAACTATTAAATTTTTCTAAGAAGGCTTTGAATGTGAGAGTTGGTGATGCGTTAACATGGGATCTACAATGATGAAGTGACTGTTGCCTTTCCACACTGGAATTTTCATGCTTCCATGCAATATTTCAATGAAATGGGGTTTCTAATCAGTTGCAGCAGCTTCTCTGTATGACTAAGATACTGAGAATTGAGCTAAATCGCTGTTGTGTTACTGATTAAACTTTGGCTGCTCCTAAAGGGACTCTTTCTCCATAAGAATTAAGTTTGAAATAGGAGTCTGAATTCCTGAAACCCAGTAACAGTTTATTTCTTCATTCTCTTTTTGCCCTTGGAAGCTATGCAATACCCCTTACTTTATTCAAGGGATGCTTACTGTATTCTGTGAATCCACTGTAATTGTCGCTGTGCATTAGATCAGTTCAGTTGTCATAAGACAGGGGATGCAGGAACTGTGCCTTATCAGATGACATTCTAATTTAAGCTTGCTTATAAACTTGCCTGAAATGGGAAGTGAGGTTCTGAGTCCTACATATGAACTGAGGAGAATCACTTGCATTAGGAACGAAGGAAACTCCACTGATGCATGGGGTAAGTAGAGCTCTGGCAGGCACTACACTTCGAGCCAGAGTTTCTGTGCTCTGGGGACTTGGAGTGAAAAGCAGGAGCCTCACCTGGGGCCAGCACCACTTTCACCAACGGACAGGTGGGTGGGTGGTGCTCTGGGGAGCAGCAGCTGCGTTTCCTTGCCCTTGACACTGAATCCATTCACACAGGCTGGGAGAAAGCCAGCTCTGATCTCTTAATACAGAAGCTGTGCTGCAGAAACGCACCCGCTCAGAGGATCAATGCAATCAGAAGACAAGATGGGTTTGCAAAGCCTCAGCTGGGACGGGGAGGGGGGAAGACACAGGGGACAAGAGCTGATCAGCTGCTGCTCCCCATGCCCCCCCCAGCCCAGCAGAGCTTAAGGAGATCTCTCGGTGCAGCACACGCCGGCTGTGCCTCCTGCGGCCGAACCTCGCCACTGTCCCAACATCCAGAGCCAGGATTTCTTCAGCTTCGTGCAATGAACGTTTAACCCTGACAGCCCAGTAGTAAAATATTTCATCACTGCAAATCAGCACGCCTCAGTCTCTAAAATACTCCTTTCCATGTATATTTTACCAAACTGAACAGTAGCAGTTTCAAGGTTTTAATCACAGTATTGAGGTCTTCATCCTTCCAAACCAGTAACAATCTAATGTAATCTGCCCTCCATTATTTTCTCAAAACTAATTTTTCACTCTATTGTACATTTTAAAGTGAGACCACAGTAAGCATCACTTAAAAACCACAGTTCAGTTTATGAAATTAAAGAACTGCAACAGTTACAGCATTGTAATTATTTTGAGATCAACCCCTTTAGAAACTGAGGCATCTGCACTTTGATATTTTTAAGCTGCAGGATGATTAACACATTTGTAGAATTAAACCAACTTCCTTATCATGCATAGCCAAAAGAGAAATTCACAATTTACAAGGCGTGGGGAGCTGAGCAGGAAAACAAACAAACATGTTTTTTAAAATGTAAATTAAGATAGAAAAAATTTTTCCTCTTTCAGGATTAACTAATTTATCGTCTCAACAATGCATTCCTATGATCAGAACCAGGGGCATAAGCTAGGTGCTCTACTTAGAGACCCACTCTCTGGTTTTGTTCTTAAGAATTTGTTGCTCAAAGATAAACAGTAAGGTCAAAGCTGAGTGCCCAAAGCCTTAACGCTAATTCTTGAAATTTCCTTGAAGATGTGGGATTTTTTTTTATCCTATAGCATTGTCATTGTCTCTCCAGAATACATTAGAAAAATGTGTTAAATTTTCACTGCTTTCCCTGGCCCACTGACTCCATCTCTCACCGGAGCTGCTGCAAGCAGTCCCACTGACTACCTGAACACAGATCATGGGAACCCATACTCAACTACGCCACAGCAAAATAGTTTTGGCAACAATCACATTTAAACGCTGTAAAATCTTTTAAAGTAGGCCATGCACGAAAGTTGCAAATGCATCTACAGACACTTGCCCACGGGGGGGGGGGGGGAGGGGAGAGCATCCAACGATGCTCCCCTCTAAAAGGAGGTTTCCAAACCTGGCTTTGCTTGTGTATCGCCCTTAACAACATGCAGATCAGCTCTTGATTTCTTCCCAAGTAATGAACGTGCATTGAAATGTCTCATTTGGAATTTCAGGGAACAATTTTGATATTATAAAGCATGTAATGCACTGCTGGTGATATACAGGAGTTCAGAAATCGCGTCTCACACACACGGGCGGTTGGAGTCGCTCCGGTCTATCACTGGGTAAGGGAAGCGCAGAGAGCAGACGTCTGGGGTTTGTTTACTCTCTCCTGGGAAAACAGCATTGTGTCTATTGCACCAAAAAGAGTCACAAGCCACCGAAAGACACAGTGCCACTATTTTGCCAGAATTATTACCGAGAAGGCGGACCCCAGGCTGAAACAGGCCGTAGCCGTGAGCTACCCCCTGCCCCGCCGGCGGGTCCCTCGGCCGGGCGGGTGCGTGGAGGGGCGCTGCCACCCTCCGGCCCGGGCGGGGAACGCAGGCCCCGCTCTCCCCGCCCTGCTCTCCCGCATTGCGAAGCGAAGACGTTTCTAAAAGGGTCAATCGCTCGATTCTTTGCATTTTTATACATCACAATCAGAGCACAGATCTTTCATGGACTATTGGAAGAGCACATTTTATAGTGGCATCTCGGAAATTATGTTTTAGCTACTTTAGCTCTGCTAGCTGGGAATTTCACTCCTAAGAAGTAAAGTGGTTTGCAAAAATCTGAAGAAAAAGTTGTATTAAAATAATAAATACTTTGCTTGTACTATTATGGGAAAAGCACCATTTAACTAGCACTAGTCTGTATTTGACTCCAGAAAATAAAGCGCGTTCTCTAAACAATCTTGTATATGTTAAGAATTCTCCTGTACAACAGTTTGCAGCCTGGATCAATTAATGAAATGTGGAAAAGATATAAAACAATTTACCAACTAGAATTATCATATTTGTGAATAAGCATCTCTTCCTGTTTACCACTGTCTTTGCTTACTTACATGCAACAAGAAATGTTTTACACAGCTTTTACTGGAAGCTGTAAGGAAGAGGGACAACAGAACACAACTGTCGCGTGACAGAAGACTGAGAGATCTACATCAACACTGGTATTGAATTTTATTCAGAAAAAGATTTGCACAAATGTACTCTTTAAAAGTACTGTTTTGCAAAAGGATCCGTATTTTCTGATTCTACAGATAAATGAAAATGTTTGATCTTTGAAATCAAATTTGTTTTACCCAGATTACCATTTTCCTCTCTAGAACAGCCATCTAAGTTACCGTGATTCTAAAGTGTACGAGCCAAATGCAAACACTATTTTGATAAAACAAAGCCTGTGTTGCACAGCAATACTCAATGTTTGTGTGAGCCCCTTGATACCAGCTACTCTAGAAGACAGCCCTTTACTTGTTCGCTATCCTGACAAGAATATGAGGAATGGATAATACATTATATGAAGTTATAGGACCTACCCAGATTTATGAAACAAAACTAACTTCATTACTTGCCAAAAAGTGTACGTTGTTATAATTTCCAGTAAATATCACCACAAATTACACCATGTCTGTAGCAATCGGTTTTATAATAGATCAGGTATTTCTACTTAAAACTACGAGCTTGAGCCAGCTCTTAAGTTTTACTACTGATGGCAGAACATCAGAAGCTCTCACAAAGCTTTATTATTATCATTATTATTATTATTATTATTATTATTTAAACAGAACTAGACTGTAAACCCACTGAAATTGTCTTTCATTTGGAAGACAACAAATTATTTCAATACTTACCGCCCTTCATTTGGGAAGACACGGGACCAGCAGCGTTGCCTCACTGAAGCCTACCTCGTGCAGCCCTCGCGCTGACAGCTGCAGTACCTGATGCCCAGGGCAAAGTGTGAGACCAGTGTTACGTGATGCTTCCTCCACGTGCTCTCTGGATCTCCTGTTCTCTGAGAGCAACTCACCTCATTTTTTTGATACGTATGTTCACCAGTAACTTCATACCCAGCTGTAACATATTAATGTACTCTTCCATTTGTTAAATGTAGGAGAAGAATATGTAGAGCAAGAATATGTAAAAAAATAAAAAGACCAAGAAAATGAACATGAACATATTTTTTAAGCTCAGATTAATTTTCAACATGAGTTAATATACAGAAATATAGAGATGGTAAGGTTATTTCAGAAAAACTGGTTAAGCTACATTTCATAAATTGGAAAAGCGTCTCACTTGTGTATTTCCACTTGTAAACATATGAAAAAACTATGCCACTGCTAGAGGCTTGCTTTTTTAATTAAAAAGTTTGTGTAAGGCACATTAAGTAAACCTCCCATAAGTACTTTTCAAAAGATGTATCAGTTAGAAGGCCAAGTAAATTACATGCCAAATCTATAAACTCAGCCTAGCTCTTGTTAAAAAGCAGTTTTACTGCACATGGGTGTTTCTACTCCACAGATACAAAGTAAGGTGCTACACACGTGGACACATGCTGTTTACTAATCCTTACTGATTCTCTTTTTGCTCACATTATCCCATCTTTGCTTTTACCGCTCTTACAGAAAAAGCTGGAAGTGTTGGTTGAACCTCATCCTGTATCT